CCACAATCCCTTCTCCTCCATTCTCCTCTCAGGATCTTGGGCATGCACGCACACACACCCGGCGTAAATTTAAGCCACCAGGTCTGGGACTCGAACCGCGGTCGACTACATGGGAGTCCAGTGACATAGTCATTACGCTAACTGCTGGTCCCCTTTTAAAATAAGTCTTGAAGCCAGAGTCCCAGATTATAAAATCCTGGCAATGAAAACATACCCTAGAATCCAGCTACGTCTGTTTTAGACATTCACATGATTTTTTTTTCTTTAAGGCTTGTCATGTTCTACTGGCTCTGTAATGTGTAGGTACAGTAATACATGCTGCTAACCACAAACTTTTCCTTGGCTAGCTAGAAGGAAATTGAGGCTACATAATTGTTCATGAAGACTCTGGCTAGTGAATTAAAATTTACTTGGTTTGTTGAGCTTATAGTAGACCTTGTGTCACTTATGTAGTCTAGTAAGGTCAGAGACAAGATATTTTGTTTTTACAGAATTATTTATTTAATTTTGTTTATTATCATTATTTTTTAATTTGACCAGGGAGAGACAGACAGCAAGAGAGAGAAAGTGAAAGGTCTGAGATGTGAACCATGGTTGGCCCTGTGGAATCCAGTACCTTAACTACCACACTACCTGCCAGCTCAGAAATAAGTTTTGGATCACCTCTTTTTTTTTTTTTTTTTTTTTTTTTTAGAGAGTTTTTTATTTTTATTTTTTGCTACATAGTACATGCACTCATCAGAAAAACAGAAACAGAGATAGAAAGTAAGAAATTACCCTCCCTTCAGGCGGGATGGCCATACCGCAGTCCCTTTTCCTATATTTTCCTCTCGGGATTTTGAGCATGCATGCACATGTGCCTGGGGTGAGTTTTAAGCTGCTGGGTCTGGGACTTGAACTATGGTAGACTACATGGGAGTCTGGCAACGTAACCATTACGCCATCTGCTGGTCCCTGGAGTACCTTTCTGAGTTGTATTATTTTTCTTGTGGAAATTTCATTCACAGAGTATACATGACAGGCATGTTAAGTATCGCTCCTAGTTTTCCCAAGTAGTATGTGATGCTGTGCTTGATGCATGTTGTTGGTTTTGGGGTGTTTGTCTCAGAAAAACATGACCTACTTGGAAGGTGTGGTAATTTTAAATTACTGAGGTCTCTAACAATTGGCTTCAATATGCAAGGTAAGTTAGTGTATGGTAGGAGGCTGTTTAGTCTGATGTTCATATCAAGAAGTAGCATTCTATGGGGCCAGTAGGTGGGGTGGTGTTTAGGGCACTGGATCCCATATAGCAGTTTGAGTCTCAGGCCTGGGAGCTTGAAAAACACACTGTGTGCATGTGCACATGTGCTTAAAATCTCAAGAGGGCAATGGAAGAGAAGGGACTGTAGCAGGGCCATGCCCCCTGGGTTGTGATTTCTCACTTTCCTTCTTTCTGTCTCTCTACAGCAAGCACACATGTCCTATGGTAAAAATCTTAAAAAAAAAAATAGAAGTACTCTAGAAGGGTACAAACTATTGGGAGTATAAATACCATTTAACACACATCAGGAACCAGCCAACAGTCTTTCGCTCAAGATAGGCAGATTTACTGAACAGAGTTAAGTAGTTTCTGCAAAGTGGGCTGGAATTTTTCTCAAGTGAATAAACTATCTACTATAGTAAGATAGCCCCAATATTCCTGTAGGTTTTTCTTTGTAGTTTTTTTTTTTTTTGAGAGAGGTTTTTTTTTTTTTTTTGCTATAGGGCGTGTGCATTTGCTGGAGAGATAAGAGAGACATAGAGACAGAAGGCAAGAAATCACACCCTAGGGGAGGATGGCCTTCTTCTCCCTTCTCTTGGGATCTTGGGCACATACACACACACTCACCTGGTGTGAGTTTCAAGTTCCTGGGTCTGAGACTTGAACTTCAGTGGACTGTGTGGGAGTCCAACAATGTAACCATTATGCCACCTGCTGGTCCCTAGGTGTTTATTTTCCACAGTGAGTGTGCATTCACCGGAGACAGAGAGAGACATTGAAAGGAAAAGTGAGAAATCACCCCTACCCCTGGAGGGATGGCCACACTGGAATCCCGTCTCCTCCATTCTCCTCCTGGGATTTTGAGCACACATGCACATGTACCTGGTATGATTTTCAAGTTGCCAGGTCCAGGACTTGAACCACAGTCGACCATGTGTGAGTTCAGGGCCATAACCACCATGGCACCTATTGGTCCAGGGCTAGATTTTTCAAGTAGAGTCGATCTCTGTTAAACATCATGTTGAAGTGTGGGTAAAGGTTCAACTTTTGTTTTGGGGGAATTTTTTTAGACAGGTCATCTGTATGTTTCCCAGCCAGCCTTGAGCTCACTATCCTCCTGCCTCAGCTTCCCAAGTTGTTGCAATAACAAGTGCATGCCAGTATGCCCAGCCTTTAGGTTCGGCTGGATATGGAACCCAGAGCACAGCAAAGTCTGCCACTGCAGCTAGATAAGGTGCAATTTTCATAAGACTGAAGTTTGAGATTAATTATGCAAGGAAAGTTTAAGTACCAGAGTGACCTATAGAAAGACACTTACCTTATAAAGATTGTAAAAATGCAACTATTAAATTTTGTCAGTGGGAACCAGCAATTAGCATAATGGCTATGTCACTGGACTCCCATGTAGTCGACTGCGGTTCACGTCCCGGACCTGGTGGCTTAAAATTCACGCTGGGCGTGTGTGCGTGCGTGCCCAAGATCCCAAGAGGAGAATGGAGGAGAAGGGATTGCAGCATGACCATCCCCCCTGGGGGGTGATTTCTCGCTTTCTGTCTCTATGTCTCTGTCTGTCTGGCAAGCGCATGCACCCTATAGCGAAAAAACCTCTCCAAAAAAGAAAAAAAAAATTTGTCAGTAATCAGTTGAATTAAGAGAAGTAGCTATGGTTTGTCTGTAGCACTTCAAAGAGTGTCATTGATCTTGAATGGTAGTAGAGCAGAGAGGATAGTCCAAAGTAATAGGAAGAAGATAAGGGAGACAATATAGAGCAATCTTTCTGTTGGTTAATAAAGGGTATAAAAATATAATAATTGGCAAAATTAGAGGTAGGGTAAAAGATGCTGAAGAACTAGAAAATTTGTTTTGTTTTGTTGTCAGGGGTATAAATTTCTCATTTCTATGATCAGCAGCTTCTGGAGAACTCCCAGGAATCGTCAGTGTGTGGTCTTCCCATGGATTGGATATCTAATAGTCAAGGAAAATGATGTTAGATGTTGTTAACAGTGGTTAATATTTCTCATTGAGGCTGAAAGGGAATTGTTTTCTGATGATTATTCAAAAGACCAAATCCTCAGATTTCAGATTATGCAGAGGCTGCTTAGGTGGGTGCTTTGGAAATGCTGCTTCTACCTATTATTGATAAAGCAGAAGTTACAGTAATGCTGTAAATCTCCTGTGGCAATTAGTGATAGCTGTTTGTATTATGGTAGCATCTAGTATTGGTATTATCTCCCAAATAGATGAAGCAGCCTGTTATTAATTCAGGAGATACCTTGGGAGTCCTAAAATGGATAGGTCTTATTGCCATAAAAGCTAATACAAGTACTCTGGGCTTCGGAAATTGGAGGGTTTCTGAGAATTTTGATAACTATTTTCAGAGCTCCATTAGGTTTATTTTTCCTGAAATTTGTGGATAATAAAGATAATGGAGCTTCTTAAGTAAAATATAAAGCTTCACCTAGTTATTATTTTTTAATATATGAGATATTTATTTACTTATTTATTTTGAATTTTTACTATAGGGTATGGATTGGAATACCAGCCCTGGCAGCTTGAAACGAGGAAAAGAAGATTGTGGTGTAATCATGACACTTTGTGGAGGGCTTTCTCCCTCCTCTCTCTCTCTCTCTCTATCTCTTTCTCTCTCTCTCTTTTTTTTTTTTTTTTTGTCATAGGGCAGGGGAGAGACAGGGAGAGGGAAAGAAAAATCACCCCGCAACAGGATGGCCATATCGCAATGGCTTCTCCATTCTCCTCCCAGGATCCTGGGCATGGACACACACTCCCCAGAGAATTTCAATGGGTCGGGGATTCAAACAATGGGCCACCATGAGGGAGTTCCAGGATGTAACTACTATACCATCTGCTGGCCCAGAAATCTATTTCTAAAGCATTTCAAAGCCATTGACTAACATATGTACTATCACTATAAATATTTGCTTTTATCTTTTATCAGCTCGTAGGTCTGGGAAAAGACAATTACTACACTCACAGAAAACCTAGTATGGCATACTGAGTCAGCCACTTACTAGGTAAGAGATTTGGGGCAAGTTATTTTTCTGAGCCTCAGTTTCTTTAAACATGGAATGTAATAATTCTTTCTCACAGAACTGCAGGCATTTAGTGAGTTATTTATTGTTTGACCATCAATGAATAATACCTACAACTCAGTCCTTCACATTGGTTATTTCCTCTATCAGCTGTCCTATGCGATGCCTACTACTCTCACTTTTTTTTTTTTTTGGTTAGGTTTTTGCCACCTGCTGGCCACTACTCTCATTTTATAGACACAGTCACACCTATGTAAGTGCTGGTATCAGAATTCAAACTCCAGTCCTTCTAATGCCATTATCCAGTTCTTAACTCCTGCTCTGACACTTTCCACGGTGAGATTCAATAGCCCACGACGCACCTACCACGAAGTAGGCCCTCAGCTTTTAAATATTTATAATTTGCAAGTTTGATCATCATGGGTTTGTCCTAGAGTCTTCTCTCTTTTCCGTGCAGGGGCAAAATCCAGCGGAGGCCTAAATTCTACCGTGTGCGCGCAGGGTGGGAGAGGAGCCCAGTCCCAGTTTATTATGAGCTTATAGTAGTGTGAGCAAGCTCCCAGCCAGTGACGGGGGCGAGGCGGAGGCGTTGCCCGTCGAGGACCCCCCTGCCTGGAGCCTTCCCGGCTACCCCCGCGGGGCGTCCTTAGCAACCCGCGCGCTCCTTCTCAGCCCCGCCCCTTTTGGGCGGTGCGGCGCCGGGCGCGAGGCGGCGGCGGGCTCTGCGCCTGCGCGCGACCGTAACCGCCCGTCAGCTCACTTCCCCCTCCTCCTCCCCCCTCCCCTCTCCTCCTCCTCAGCTCCCTAGAACGAGACGCCGACATGGAGCCTGAAGACCTGCCGTGGCCCGGCGAACTGGAGGAGGAGGAGGAGGAGGTGCAGGAGGAGGAGGAGGCGGCCGCGGCGGCGGAGACGGAGGAGGCGGCCAACCTGGACGAGGTCGTGGTGGTGGAGGAGGTGGAGGAAGAGGTGGTGCCGGAGCTGGACTCCGACTTTAACTTCGAGGACCAGCTCCGAGAGAGCACGAACGACTGGGAGGAGGGGGAGGACGAGGAGGACGAGGAGGCCAAGGCCTGGCTGCAGGCGCACCCCGGCCGGATTCTGCCTCCGCCGCCGCCCCCGAGGCACCGGTACTCCGAGGGCGAGCGGGCCTCTCTGGAGAAGGTGAGCGGGGCGGAGGAGAAGTGCGGGGCCCCCGAGGGGCAGGGCTGGCGTCTGTCCCTGAGCGCTCCGCCCTGCTCGGGGCCTCCTCCAGGGGGTCATGGCCATGCCTGTCACCAGGCCAGACAAGTGATAGGGGCGCCTTTCAGGGAAGGCTTGCAGGGGTCAGCTCGCGTCCGGGGCCCCGACCTCTGTCCAGGCTGGCAGACTGACTGCGTGTCTCCGGTTCTTCCTGGCAAAGACCTCTCATTCTCTCCCCCTCAGTGGGTCCGGGCCTTTGAGCCACAACATATTCAGAGGAGTCAGTATTCCCCTTGCGTGTAGTTGAGAAACTCTTTTGGGAGGAGGTGGGGCTTATCGTGTCCTAAAGGAGGGGGAAAGGGCGGATTAAGACTGGAGAGGATGGCTGCCCAGGGAATATCTTGTTGGAGAGACAATTAGCAGATTAGTTTGAAGTGCAGGATTCCCCTTGAGGGAATAGTGTGGATTAGGTATAGTGCACAGTCTGTCCTGAGAGGCTTCCCGCCCATTGTGTCCTCCTTTGTAGGGGGACTCCAGCACTTTGGAGGGGCCTGTAACGCAAGAGACTTGTGTTCTATCAATAGCTCCAAACAGTCTGGAAAACTGAAAAGCACAAGGTGATACACAGTAGAGATTGCGCCGATTTTATGGTTGACCCGTGAAGATCTTTTTTTTTAAACTTCATTTAATTAACTGCTTTTTTACAAGCAAGATTACACTCTTAATATGTCAGCCTCTAGCCAGTACATCTTTTGGTCTAATCACTTTTCAAGTGCTCAGTAATCACACTTGGCTAGTAGGTACGATATTGGACAATGCAGATACAGAATAGATAAAGTTATACTATGTACTGTTGATCACTGAAGAGACATAGTGTTGTTTTGCTAGATATTCCAGTGAGTCCTTAATTCACCGTGCTTCATTGTTAACATTCACTATATCCCATACTTTGTGTTGGGTGCTAAGGAAACCTTGGAGAACCCAGACATGTTTGGTTCCTGCCTTTCTACTGTTCACAGTCTAGAGAGTGAGACAGACAGAACTTAGATGATCACATAAAATTAAACATGTACCAAGATGCTATGCAAACATCAAGTAAGATAATCTAGCTTTGTCATTGAAGGTAGGAAAACTTCCTTGCAGAGGATATGATACCGCTGATACCTGAAGTCAGGTAAAGGTTATCTAGGCAAAGAGGAGGGACAGAGCCTTCTAGTTGAAGGAAAAGCACATGGAAAGGTGTTTTCAAGAAACTAAAAGCCAATATGGTTTGAGCACAGATTGCAAGGCTTTGTGGACTGAGCCAACCATTTAGGGGCTTCATCCCTGGAGCTTTGGGAAGTCAGTGAAAGTGTTTTAAGCCAGAGGTTGTGTGATAAGATTTGTGTTTCGACAGAACTTAGATGATCACATAAAATTAAACATGTACCAAGATGCTATGCAAACATCAAGTAAGATAATCTAGCTTTGTCATTGAAGGTAGGAAAACTTCCTTGCAGAGGATATGATACCGCTGATACCTGAAGTCAGGTAAAGGTTATCTAGGCAAAGAGGAGGGACAGAGCCTTCTAGTTGAAGGAAAAGCACATGGAAAGGTGTTTTCAAGAAACTAAAAGCCAATATGGTTTGAGCACAGATTGCAAGGCTTTGTGGACTGAGCCAACCATTTAGGGGCTTCATCCCTGGAGCTTTGGGAAGTCAGTGAAAGTGTTTTAAGCCAGAGGTTGTGTGATAAGATTTGTGTTTCCTCAATACCACTTTGTAGCAGAGTGGAGAACAACTGTGACAGGAGGATTGGATAGGGAGCAGTAGTAATAGATGGGGGATACTAAAATTATGAGGCCATCGCTTTATTGCCAGACAAAAGAGGATATTTTGGAATAGCAATGTGTGGATGTGGGCAAAAGTGGACAGATTGGAGAGAGTTTCAAGAGGGAAAATCATCACACTTTATAGTGGACTTGGTGTGGAAAGTAGTGTTCAGGTATTAGGTTATTGAATAAATGGTGTGTTAAAAATTGAGAAATTATCAGGTTCGTGGTGGTGGTGCAGATGGTGCAGAGAAGAAGTGAGTGATTCAGAGACTTTGCTGTGCTGTTTTTATGCTGGTCTTGCACTCTTCAATGCTGATGACTTCAGACACCTCCTTGTAAATCCTAAACCTAAATTTCTGAGTTGTGATGGGGAAAATAATTCAATTCTGTGGACTAGTGTCACAAAATTCTAGGTCTCCAACTTTTAGTTGGGTCATCAACAGTGCTTAGTAATCTTTTTATACTCTTTTTGTTTCCTGTCTTTTTTTCCCATCTTTGTTTCCCCCTCACCTTTTCCTCTAACCCTTATCTAGTTTTTTACATCCCACCATCAGCAGGTTAGCATTTCACAGAAGAAAGAACACAGTCATGGACCCCTTCACCATTCTCTCCTTTCAATTTATCTGCACTGCACAATTCTTGATTTTTTAAAATCTTTCTTGTACACATTTTTTTCTTTCTTTTTTTTTTTTTTGTAGAGAGTTTTTCCTATAGGGCGTATGCGCTTGCCAGAAAGACGGACAGAAAGTAAGAAATCACCCCCAGGGGGGGATGGCCATACTGCCATCGTTTCTCCTCCATTCTCCTCTTGGGATCTTGGGCACGCACGCACATGCGCCCAGCGTGAGTTTAAGCCACTGGGTCTGGGACTCGAACTGCTGTCGACTACATGGGAGTCCAGTGACATAGCCATTATGCTAACTGCTGGCCCCACACATTTTATTCTTTTTTAAAAAAGAAATATTTTATTTAACTTTACTTATTTATTTTAATTTGACCAGAGAGGGACAGAGTGAGAGATGTAGAGAGAGAAAGAGGGAGGGAGAGAGGGATAAAGTGAGAAAATAAGCTGCCGGGTCCAGGACTCGAACCATGTTCAACCATGTGGGAGTCCAGCGCCCGCAACCACCACACCACCTGTTGGCCCCCACGTTTTATTCTTATTTTAAAAATTGTTATTATTAATTTATTTTTTATATACATTCAATGACACTGTTTAGCTTATGAAGTGTAACGTTTCAGTATGTGAACATTTCTCCCCAGTCCAGTTGATCAAAATATCTTCAGCAGATTACACCACACCTCCCTGTCCTGTCAATGCTCTGCCTCTGTATCCCTGCTCCAAATGTCCTTCCCTAGGCCCCTCTCCTCCACACACACCGCATCTGGCATTCACACCCATCTCTTGTGTTTGTATACCCTTTTTTTTCTTTTGGAGAGATTTTCACTGTAGGGACTCGGTATATATTAAGTGGGGACATACAATGTCTCTCCTTCATAGCCTGGCTTGTTTCACTCAGCAGTAAATCTTTCATATTCTTCCACTTTCTGTCAAAAGCCAGGGTTTTGTTGTTTTTTTATGACTGAATAGTATTCTACAGAGTGTATGTGCCACAGTTTTTCAATCCATTCATCTATATGGGGGCATTTGGGTTGGTTCCATGTCTTAGCAATCGTGAAGAGTGCTGCAATAAATATTGATGTGGAAGCATTTTTCCAATGAAGAGTAATTCTGTCCTTTGGGTAGATACCGAGGAGTGGGATTGCTGGATCATATGGTAGATCTATTTGTAGATTTTTGAGGAATCTCCAAATTGTTCTCCACAGAGGCTGGACCAGTTTACATTCCCACCAGCGGTGTAAAAGAGTTCCCCTTTCACCACACCCCCGCCAACACTTAGCATTTTTGTTTTTTATTCTTAATATTTATCTTTTCTAGGATTAAAAACTGTTTAGTTATACATATATAGTATTTTCTTTTTTAGTTAGTGTTCTTTGCCATCAGGTATTGTGTACTCTGGAGAGAGACAGAAAAAAAAGGAGGGATAGAGAAAGAAAGAAATAACTCCCTAGGGGGAATGGATATACTGCAGTCCCTTTTCCTCTCAGGATATTGGGCACAGAGGCACATGCATCCTGCGTGGTTTTCAAGCCTCTGGAGGAGTTAGCCATGCGGAAGGAAGTGCTTGAGCCACCATGCCACCTGCTGGCTCATCTTCTAATTTTTTTAATTCAATAATTTTAATTCTCTTTATTTTAATTATCTCCTTAGGTTTACTTTGTTTATTGTTTATTTTTTTGTTTATTGTGTTGAGTGCTTAACTGATGTATTTTAAAACATTTTAACAGCTTTATTGAGGTACAGGGAACACACACACCCCGAAAAGAATCCGGAAGCATAGTAGTTTGATATTTTCAACATGCAAGAAAAATTTCTAGGTACTTAAACTGTCCTAGGTCATAGAAAAATAAAATCATCCCAATACCTTTAATTAAAATGGTATAATATTGATGCCGGATTTGACAGAGACAGGTCAAGAAAACAAACACTTAAAACCATCTATCATTTATAAAATAACTGCAAATAAAGTCCAATAGTTCATATACTATACAATTAACCCTTCAATTAAAGCACACGATTCAGTGGTTTTTGGTACCGGGTGAGCATTTTGGTACACAATGTTTGGGACCAAAAGTGTTTTTAATTGTTTTGGATTTTGGAATATTTGTATGTATAAAATGAAATATTTTGGCAATGGAACCTAAATCTGAACATAAAATCCATTTATGTTTTATATACAATCTATACACATAGCTTGAAGATAATTTTATACAACATTTTTATATTACAGCCTTTTGATTGTGACCCCTCATCTAAGATCAGGTGTAGAATTTTTCCATGTCAGGAAAGTTTCAGATTTTGGAGCATTTTGGATTTTCGGATTAGAGATGCTCAACCTGTAGGTATATTCATAAAAATGTGTCATCATGATCATTTTTATCACTTCCTTTTTTTAAAAAAATAAATTCTTTATTATTTGTTAATTTTATTTATTTTTATTTTAAAAATTTGACCTGAGAGGGAGAGAAAGTGAGAGAGCAAGCAGAAGAATAAGACTTGAGCCATGTGGGAGTCCAGCGCCTCAACCACTGCACCATCTGCCAGCC